TACAATTAATAATTGTTCCAGTAAATGCCCAAACCCTACAGAACTGGTGCCTTCAGAGAGCCACTACATTTACATTTTGGCTATGGCAACATTACACAGTTGACTAGTGTGGTTATTGTAATGATGAGCAAAGCAATGTGACATTACAAGTAATGCTCAAAGTATGCTGCATCTTCAGTGAATAAGCCTCTTTTGTTCAATAAGGTTCAATAATTTAGAATCAGATTCAATATTTATTGCTATACCAATTTAGGAATTTGCCTCAGTTAAACAATAAAACAATAAGAACAGTAACACAAAACCATAAGACACAACCAGATTACTTTAAAAAAGTGAACATTAAAAACAAAGAATAAGAAGAAATCGAATACAGTATTAAAATAAAGTGACTGGTGCATTGGAAGGTTTATGGTCCACTTGCATTGTCAGTAATCACCCTCAAAGTGCTGATGTATGATTGGGGAGCTGTTTAGTATCCGGATAGTCTTACAATAAGTGCTGTTGAGGAAATGGGAGGTTTTGGTCTTAATGGTTCTGAGTCTTTTTCCTGAGGGGAGGGGTATAAGGAGTGGATTAGCATGGTGTGCAGGGTCTTGGAGTATTTTCAGTCTTTTATGCTGAATGTGGGTCTCATAGATATCAGAGATCCAGGTCAGCTCACATCTGATAATGTTTTAGGCGGAGCGCACAATTCTCCCCAGTTGGTTCCTCTGCTCAGCTGTGGAGTTGCCAAACTACACACTTATATCTAATCAGTTGACACTGATACACTAGATACAGTATATCTAGTGATTTACTGTAACTAGTCTGACAAAGTGGAAAAACTATTTGAAAAAACAAAGATCCCTGCACCACTACCTCTACTTGGTTTGCTTTTGATGTTTTGGGACTGTATTATGAAATTGTGGATTGTGTGTTGTAAAGCCGTATGCAGCAACTGCTTGTTATTCTGTCTTTTCCATTCCTTACAGCCTTAAAGCACACTCACAACTAACTGTTGCAATTTCCAATTATTTCAGAACATTTAAGATACTCACATCACTACACCCTGTCACTGTACACTAACTGTACACTAACCAAATCCTTCTTCAAAATGTAAGTAAAATAGTTCTATCAATCTTTATCTTAAATAAAATGTGTAGAGAAAACTGCTAATGTTCATGTAAACACAGCGGTATTCACAATCACAACAAAAGTACAGCAGATCTAGCATGCTTCATTTTCATCACTCTTCCATTATTCTGTAATTTGTATCTTTTAGAAGTTTTTATTTTTCAGTAAATAAAATTATTTCAAATATATATCATCCTGGATAAAGGAAACACATAAAATTAGTGGCTTCAACCAGAATAGGCAAAAACATGTTTACAGTGACACTGACATACTGTAGTACAAAGACAATTAGAATTTACAGTACCAGCCCGGGTAGATGTTGCCGAATGAATATGCCACATAGCAACCCATGGATGCAACAATGGTCCGTTTGCAGCCCAAATTCTTAATAAGAATGGGTGGTAAGAACATTGAAGACAGGATGATAGACGCATAGATGACACTCAGAGATGCTACACCCATCCCTTCACTGGCATTAAGGCTGCTCTGAAACCAAAAAACAAAGAGCAAGTATAAGATTGAGATGATTTATTCACATTTATAGGTCCTTTTCATTATGGTTGCCATAACATAAAATTTGAGTCTGATTACAAAAAAACATGCGATTTGAGTCTGAATTATAGCCAGACATATTATTCTTTAAATTATTCAACTTGCTATAAGGTAAGTATGGTATACCAGGCACACCAAAGGAATGTATCTTTAAAAAAACCTAAGTAGCATTTAAAGTCACTTCCACAATGAAACAGTAAGTATAGACCTACCATAATTACATAAACGTATATAAACTGAATAAACCAGTCACTACTAGATCCTTAACTTCAGACTACCCAAAGCTCCGGAATTATAGGCAGGTATTACTTTTCCTTTTCATCACAATTTGTACAATGTTTCAGATTACATTGACATACAGTATGATTACATTTTTAACATGTTATAAATTGACTGGTTTAGCAGTCTTTATTCTTAATTTTTGTTATTTTTGTTTCATGGTGGATCAAATGGTGGCTGTCATTAGTTTATTTGCTGTCATTTAGTGCTGCTTGCTCTACTGCAATCTTTTTATACTCAATTATAAAAATCTTCTGACATTTCTTTTAGCACGCTGTCAGCCTTATTGTCAGTACTGTTACAGTAGTTGAAGAGTTAGCACCATCTTTTCTGAGGTGTGTATTTAAGGCTCCATTTTCTGTAATTCTAAAAATAAAAATGTGGGCTGGTTAATGTACATGGAGTTTTCAGAATCAATGTTTTGTTTTTGGTTTATACATTCATTTTGTCTTAATATTCTACCATAATGATCTCCAATGAGACAATGTAACAGACCTGTTCGCACTATACTCTTCAGGAAAGAAATTAGTGAAATTTAAAATCCACAATTCACTTCAAACCATGTAACACCATAGCATTACAGAATTGTTTTGAATGTCTGTTGTTAAGTATATTAATTAGCTACATAACAACAGTCTATATTAAATATGTAATATCAAAAGTAATGCAATTTTACAATAAGAAGTATGTGTTTTCTAAAAAATTATATGCAACTTCAAATGCTGCCAGTAAAGATTATGATAGCTGTTGATGTATTATAATATGCTTGTCATGTTTTGAACATTTTAACCTTTAAAAGAAAATGAACTTTCTTTTTATATTTTTAACAGATCTTTTTATATCTTACTACTGTATGCAATACACTACCTGTAAACTTTGAAGTCCTCCATATGCAGTGAAGAGCAGCAAAAATCCAAAAGAGACAACAAGGACATTTTTCATATTTCCTCCCATTTTTCCCCAGGCTACTAATCTTTAAGAGAGAAAAGGGAAACTACAGATTTTTAGAACAGCAACATGTTTCCACAGTGATTGAAACCTGGTCCAAACAACGTCTGATTAGCCCTGGTGGAAAAAGAAATCACAGCAAACATTATTTGAAGGCAAAATTCAATACTATTAATACTGATTTAATTAATTATTAATTGATATTATTAATACTGCAGGATGGAAAACAGGTAAGCAATTTAAAATACTTAACTGGTTTAATTTAGCAAATACTGATTTATTTTTTAACACAAGGTGATCAGAGGTATGAGTTAGGGAATTAATTTTGTTTCAAAAACCATAAACGCTAATTCACTTTAAGTCACAATTACTGTCATTACTAAAAGCAGATGCTGTACACGGCACAAAGGTGCACGATATAAAAAATAACAAATTATTAAACCACACAATGTTGTGCCCCTGCAAGTACATTGTCTATTAGACTCCATTTGTCATGAACAGAACAATTTTAAACTAATCAGCACAAAGCACTGCAGCTACTGTAAATGATCTTCCATTTAAAAGTGAAAACGAACATAATGAGTTCTTGTGATTTCCCTTTTAAGAAAATAATGGAATAGTTTGAAGTTCCATAGTTTAATTAATTTACACAAATAGGGTTGTTATATTTTGACACATTCACAAGAAGTTGAATTCAAACATTTAATTAGGACATTGTGCTTTATCTCATTTTGGATTGAATTCAACTTGTTATGGTTTTAAACAATGAGTGTGTCCTGTTTTCCAATTATTCTGATTGAGTTTTGCATTTTTAAATTAATAATAAATTATGTTTTTGATTGCTTGTTTTGGCAGCTCAATTATGAACTTCTGTGATGGACCCTTTTAACAAGAGAGGTTGCTTTAAAAAAAAATATTTGCTTATTTCATTCCATATTTTAGCAAAAATAAAGAGCCATGTGCTGCAAAAAACATTTGGTGTTTTAAAACTGCACTGAAGCTATCCTGGGTATCTTATAATCTATTGTTACAACTGAATGTCATTAAACTTAAATCTACGTACCTAATTATTTGCCACTTATTAAATTACTAAGGAGCTATTAAAAAGCCCATAGTACTAAAATATTTTATTTGTTTTGTATTTCTATACATATTTTTATACAGATTACATTTGTGGATCTGAGAATTTAAATCTTTCAATAATCCAATACTTAATAAAACACTATTCAGTTCAGATCCACAGGGAAACTAATCTGGCCAGAAACTGTCATCAGACATACTGTATGTCAGCAATATCAGAAATGTCTATTAGAAAACACACCTGAAGAAGGCTCCATGGCCGAAACGTTCTGTTTTCTTTCTTCTCTTTTCAGCATGGAATAAACCTATTACTTGTTCCTTTCCCTTATATTTAATGGCCAGGCAGGCATTTATGTGGCATATTTATTTTAGAGCACAGCAATGGCAGGAAAATTCAGTACATCCAATTGTCATATATTGTTACTGAAAGCAGTCTGGCCCTCTTTGCCATGCATGCAACATTTCTGATAAATAAGCTTCCGTTTGTCATTCATCGGGCTAACTAATTTTCCATTAATAAAGATTTGCACATTTACACATTAGATACTGTATGTTATTATTTTTTTCTATTTATGGCAGTTGCCTGAATAAAATGAGACCAGCAATGAGGAGCCAGACTGACTGCACTGTCGGATATACAGTAGAGTATTTCAGTCATCTAAAAAAGTGTGTTCTCAAAATGAACAAAGCATCCACTCATAAGTACTTAGGTACTTAAGTTTCCTATAACATGTTTCCTATAACATTCTATGAATGTGAATGTAAATTCCACACAAATGCAGGACACATAAGGGAGGAGGGACAGGTTCCATTGACACGATATACTTGTTTTTTACAGTACTGAAATGAGTTGAGGAGAACATTATTGGAAGGAGGGAAAGAACACTCACCCTGTACTGTCCTCCTTATGAGTTTTCTACCACAATTTGACAGCCAGCCAAACTCCATTAAAAAATTACAGAGTCAGGAATGAAACCTTCAATAATTTATTGAACAAATATTAAACGTAACTTTGGAATAAGGAGTAAAATTAAACATACCGTATACAAAACAAAACGTAAATGCTAACATTTATGCACGTTTTGAATGTCTTTACTATTTACATATCACCTTTTTAAAAATGTAAATATACTATTTTTTATAACTTTACAATTTAAAAAAATATTAAAGGAAGTTATTAATGGAAATTCAGGACAGATAACAATTACAGTAAATCTCACACAGTTGCACCTAATTACTATCACCACCAAACTAGCTACATAAACTGAACTCAAACGCCTCCCTTCGCATTCGTCTTAAGCATTTCTCCCTCGCCCACTTTCAGTTCAATCCCCTTGACTCAGTCTGAGTGGGGTTCGAGCCTCCTCGGCCTACTGAGGCTACTCATTAACCAAGCGGGTTAAAAAAATACGCATTCCGAACATTTACAAATATTCAAACCTTGGGTTGTGTTGTCCCTAGTGAACTACGCTATTACTGCGTAGAGTAGACTGGTAAACCGTAATAAGTATTGAATCGTTTACTAAAAAGTTCACTTTAGAATACTGTTATGACATTTAATTATATACAGTATAATCACAAGTTTAAATAAAACACATTTTTCACTCACAGGTAATAATTTTACGTCAGGTACCAAGTGGATGCTAGCATTAATTAACTGGCAGAAGATTACTGTCAACGTGTCCAGCAATAGTATACTGTACTTCCTATTTGTGGGGTCAAAGTGCAAGCTGTACCATAGAGTATGCTGCCATATAAGTTAAATAAATACAAACGACCAGCTGTGGGAGCCGAATTACACAAATTTTAACTATAGACAAAATACCGCATTCGATTTTCGAACTTCAGATAAGACAAAACAGATTATATATATATATTATTCTATTATCACTCCCCTTTCACTTCACTTTCCTTCTGTCCTGCAGCGCTCAGATCCCAGCCAGTCTTGATCTAATTTTCGTTCTGAAACTCTTTGCCCTAATCTTTTTAAAACCTCCTTAACAGTTTCACCATCTAAATATGGTTTCTCTTTTTGTGACACGATCGCTTGTACTCATCAGTCATTGAAAAGTAATTTGCTGACCTTTTAAGTTCCTTCTTATAGAATTTATATTATCTTCTCTTTCCTTGGTACCAACTGGATAATTCTTCTCAAAATTGCTATGCATGGATCTGTAGTGGCTCTATACATTGGCCTTTTTCAAAACACATGCAGAATTGTGGCAAAGCAAACAAACAGGCTTATCTCCAGTCATCATGAACAAATTCAACTTCCTAGGATGGATTAAACATGCCGTTTTCTTCTATAATTTGGAGTTTTTGTTCTATAATTTGGGATGTTTATGAGCTGGGTTGGCAGAGTTGCCGACTGTGTTCTCTTCACTTGTCATTTTTCAGACATAGAAAAACTGTAAGAATTATAATGTATTGCTATTTTTTAAATAACAAATGAAATACATTATATTATTATAACTGAAAAACAAATTTAGGTGTGTAGCTTTAACAGCGTTTTCACAACTACATTTGTTTTCAGCTGATATACAAGTTTATTTAAATGTAAGGGGAAAATATTTTGTTCAAATCTTAAAAATTCCAAATCAAATAGTTAAAAATTATTTAACAAAATTTATCGTTTATTATTTTACTTATTTAATTCTTGCAGCTTTTGCAGGCCACTTAAAATGTGCTTGCAGGTCGCAGGTTGGACTGCACGAACCTAGAAGAAAAAATAGAGTACAATAAATATCAAAATATTATTGTTTTAATATATTATAACATATATATATATATGGCCAGCAGCCATATCACCCTGCAACTGTTAGTGGGCCAGCAGGGGGCGCTCACCCTCCGGTCCATGTGGGTCCTAATGCCCCAGTATAGTGATGGGGACACTATACTGTAAACAGGCGCCGTCCTTCGGATGAGACGTAAAACCAAGGTCCTGACTCTCTGTGGTCATTAAAAATCCCAGGGCGCTTCTCGAAAAGAGTAGGGGTGTAACCCGGGTGTCCTGGCCAAAATTTCCAATTGGCCCTTACCAATCATGGCTTCCTAATATTCCCCCTCTATGAATTGGCTACATTACTCTGCTCTCCTCCCCACTGATAGCTGATGTGTGGTGAGCGTTCTGGCGCACTATGGGTGCCGTCGCATCATCTAGGTGGATGCTGCACATTGGTGATGGTGGAGGGGAGTCCCCATTACCTGTAAAGTGCTTTGAGTGGAGTGTCCAGAAAAGCGCTATCTAAGTGTAAGCAATTATTATTATTATTATTATTATTATTATTATTATTATTATCATTATTATTATTATATTTTAGAAAGTCATATATACAGTTTGTAGCAATGCTTAATTACTTATTAATACAACAGAAATAAATGTTGCTTTGCTTTACTAAATGAGGCCCCATCTCTCTTTCTCATCTCTGTGGTACAGCCACAGAGAAGCTATTCATGCAGTTCTGATTTAAGTTATTTAAGTGTTATTTAAGTGATTTAAGTGTTTTCTCTCAGATAAGGAGCAGCTCCCAATTGGGGATGCACCCAGCCATGCTTGACTATCATGATCAATGGCCATTCCTGGCACCTATCTGTCTGTGAGATTCTTGGGAACATCTGGACTGCGCCACAGCAGAAATCTCTCCTCCTAATTAATTCGAGTCCAAGCTGCACCTCGTCTGGTTGGCCAGGAGCCAGAGTACACCAGGACGATGCCTATTGAACACTGCAGCGATTGGACGCAGCCAATAGCTGGTCATAGGTGTCCATGCTGGGAAATATGAATCCATATCTGGATATTGCGTCTCGAGAATTCAATTGTTACCTTAATACAAGTTGATATCAATTCAATTCATATGAGTAATGTACAGTATTTACTTTTGAGTAGATTGATAAACAATAGTATAGTCGTATGGTATACTGAAGCATATTCTTTGTAACTCTTTGTGATTATATACCATGCACTTTGATAACCCTCAAAGTAAGATCTGCCACCTGTATCCAGGCAGACTGTTGTTATGTGTTATATATGTGTTATGCACAATTTATGTATTAATAAATGTATCTCGTTTATTGAATCCATGTGTGTGCGTCCCTGATCGATTGATTTTCTAAAAGCCATAATGAACCACCTCGTGATTACTACCACAATTAATAAATTGTTCCAGTAAATTCACAAAATACCTACAACAGTATATGACTATATACAGTACAGTATAGTCATATAGCTACAAGCACATCAATCATATTGTATCTATAGTTGAAGGCATTTTTACCATTTTATTTAGTATGCAAAATAGTTAAAGACTTTTGCCAGTGCGTACTCTTTAATAAATATATAATTTGTATATATTTCATAAAGTTCACTGCACCAAATTGTAATTGAGTAAATTAGGTATTTAGTAAATTAGGATTTCAATCAAATTAAATAAATTCTATATTATAAGGTATATGAATATGTACTGCTGCAACTATATAAAAAAAACCTGTATAGATTGGAAATATTTGTTCGTTTCTTTCTTTAAACCACTATGCATAGATTAAAGTATTCACAGAATGCTGATTATTGACTTTCATTATCCATTTTGTAAATTTGGATTTCTTAGCATCTGTGGTAGGAAATATATTAGCTATCTTAATAGCTTAATAGTTTCCTGAAGTTTTTTACAGTATGTTTGCTTTCTTTTAAAAAAACTGACAATAATAATGTGAGTTTGCCCTTTATTTTCCAGTTATTATATGGGAGGGCTGTTGCATTTGACAGCAAATGATACAATGCTTTTGTTGTACTTACTTTCTGTGCCCAGGTCTCTGAAGCAATACTGACTGGCACTCCGGTTACTCCGGTGGGGGGGAATTTGCTCTATAAAGTTTTACCCTTTATAGAGAAAGAATCACTGGTTTTGACAGACAGGTCCCGCTTGACGAATCTTGATGTCTGATGTAAAAGTTAACATATGACAGTAAAAAAGCTAGAATCATATGCTAAATCAAAAAGCCAGAGGGTCCTGCAACACCGTCATTGATGCAAAAGTATTAATTATGATGTGTCCTTTTATGTGGTTGGCTGATTTCATTGTTAATTAGCATAATTAATTAAAGCAAAGAAATAATGTTTACTGAAAAATGGAACAGGAATTTAGGTTGATATTGTGAAAACAATACTATAGCAGGAGATATATTTCTAAATACTTGTCAGTCATCCTCTATACAGTGATCAAAAACATAATAGTGCAATATTAACACAGAATAAGAACTTTGACAAAAACGGCTCCAATATTTTTCCCATTAATGGTAAATCAAATCTGATTTTATGTGCCTGAAATAATACAAATTGTGGTGTATTTTTGTATTGTGGTGTATGATTACAAATTAAATAATTGTGAGGTTATTGTAAGTGCCTACTTTATACCAGAAAGAAAGAGCTCCCTACTGTGGCCAACATGATTCACAGATAATAATTCTAATTTGAGATTCACTGATCCGAAGGAAGCATAAAATAACATCAAGAACGTTTCCCCACTAGTACAAAAAGCATTTTTAACTAGATTTTTTTTTCACATTAGTGCACCTTAACTCAAGTTGCAGTAATGATTGCAAAAGGACTGAATTACAAAATACTGTGAAAGCATCACAGAAGATTATTTATGTGATTTTATGTGCAACATGATAGCACAGTGGTTAGTATTGCAGCATTGCTGTCTTACAGTGCTTGGGCCCTGGATTCAGTTCTATCAGTGTGGAGTATGTTCTTCACATGTTCATGAGGGTTTTCTTCCACAGTCCAAAGACATTCTGGCTTCTGGGAAAACTGTCCCTGGTGTGAGTCTGTACATGCTTGTGTCTGTGTGTGTCCTGTGATGGACTTGTTTCTTGGGATAGGCTCTGCCACCCCCATGACCTTGTCTTGGATAAATGGAAAATGGCAAAAAGAAGATTATTTAAACCAAAATGACCTTTTCCTCTTTTTTTTATCAAAGTTACTGAATTTTGAGACAGATATTGAGAACAGAAATGCAATCACACATCAGTTCACTCAGTTTTGATATTTTATAGTGGAAAGCCAGTACTAGTATAGCTGTGTTGAATAAAAAGTACACAACAAACTTTAAAATCATATATAATTTATTGATTATTGCTATTTCACCCTACAACTCACAACTGGCAACCCATTGAAGCTAAACAAGTGTGAACTTAGCCTGTACCTGGATTGGAGACCTCCTGGGAAAGTTCAAGCGCCCTGCTGCTGAATGAGGTGTAATTGGAAGGTGTTAGTGGAGTAGATACTCACCCTGTGGTCTGTGTGGGTACTAATGCTCCAGTATAGTAATGGGGAACCTACAGTATGTTGTAAAAAGTTGCCATCGTCAGGATAAGATGTAAAACCAAGGTCCCGGCTCTCTTTGGTCTTTAAAAATTCCTGGGCAGTTCTCAAAAAGAGTAGCAATGTGGCATTTTAAATCAAAATATTTGTAAGAGCAAAATTCCCATAACAAAAAAACATAAGACTGATAGTTGACATTGAAGAGTCTCACTATGGGGTATAAGGTTATAAATCATCTTGAATATGTCACACTTGACTACATTTATGAGATACAGTACCTTATAGTATTTAGTAAGTACAATATTTAGACCCTTCCTATGGTGTCCCATTTTGTGAAATTACAAAATGATGCATACA